CAAACACTGTGGGTTCTTTATAAAATTACTTCAGGTAGTATTTTTGAGGTGCCTATGTGTAAGGTGTTAGGATCAACTATATCTTTTTAACTATTATTTGAAAATTCTAAACACAAACAAACAAACAGCACCCATAGTACTAAAAAGGTGTTGTGACAAGCGAAACAACCAACTGGATTTTTTCGCTTGGATGACTTTTTCGAATTCCATGAGGGACTTCTCAACACGAACTTACCTTTTTTTTCCACTCTAGACCCATTTTTTTTTCAAGGTGTCAACAAGTTTACAGTACGCAGGCGAACCCTCGTCCGGGTGAGGGCGTTGTATTCTTTTCTCCGTGAGATATCTCCCACAGCCCCGATTTTCTGCTCCGTCCTCTCCTCCAAATGCCTCACGCCATTCTAAAACTGCTCGCGCAGCGTGTGGCGACCCCGGGCCTTCTTCAGTGTAGTCAGTTGGGAATGGCGATACACGCCCTTCGTCAGGTGGGGTTTTTATCAGTGCGAAGCAACGCGTTGTTGAAGGTGATCCTCACCTTGGCCCCGGAAACCGATGCACGTTCGTTGGCTGCCATTTTCCACGCGCTCGCGCTCTCCACGCGGGAGCAATGCGAGCCCGCCGTCGCGATTTCCCGAGAGCTCCATCGGAGTTTGGTGTGTGTGCAGGATAGCTTGACAGGGGTCACGCATGACCTGACCGCGTCGGATAACATCCTCGCCACCGAGGCACTTCTCGAGCTCTTTGCCTTTGGTAGCGACGTGCTTCGACTTCGGCTACTGGATGAATTACTTGAAAGGACTCTAGGACTGGCCTACGTCGTCGAACGGCCCATCGATTTTATCGGTATTCTACGAGTAATAAAGAGGCTGCACCAAGGACACACCATATCTGTTGTTTTGTACAAGGGTAAAATCCTTAATATGGATCACAGCACCGATCTTGCTAAGAGAGAGGCGACAGAAAGTGGGGAGCTTGAACTTTTTGAGAAGCGCATTCAGGAGTGGTCAGAAGAGGCCATGACGCAAGTTTTGTCCGCTGTACAAGTGAGACTAAACACCTGGAGTATGTATGATATTATTTCCATCTTGGATGCTTTAACCGTGCGGACTTTGTGTCCACTTCCGGAGTCTAGTTTCAAAAGAAATGTCGCCAACACGTATCAGCAGAGAACCACTCAACATTTGATGGATGCCGCCTTACCGCTTCTACCGACCCTGATCGATATAGCCCTGAAAGGCCTTGATGAGATGTCACCATCGAATTGCGTGGCGTGGGTGCAGCGGATCGCAATTCTACAGCTTTACCCCAACGCATTTCCCCTGTTTATTGCAATTGTACGACGCTTTTTGAACCCGTATGAGCAGGATAAAATGACCCAATCTCAGGTTAGCTCTTTCGTTATAACCTTAAATCGAATCCTGACCGAAATAGGTGAGTCCGTGGGGAATACTGATGCCTCTGATGTCACTTCGGCGACGCGCCCTAAACTGACTTCCTTGGCGCCACCCGTGAGCGCATCGCGTAAGGTGGTTTTATCCTCCGAAGATCAGGAAGCTTGTGTGAGACTTTTTGTTCCCTTGTTCGCGGATGTGGTATTTCGGATTCAACAACTCGCGCACGATGACAGCCCCAACGCCGAACAGGCCATGAAGACCGAGCTCTTGCCGTTGTTATTACGGATGTCCGATGGTTTTTTTGGGTTTGTGGACTTCACAAACCCCAAAGAAGTCGCACATTTGAATTCTCTCAGTAGTTTTATAAGGTTACTTCGGAAATTTTGCACCACCATGGAGAAGGCGTGTTCGCTGCTCTTACGTCATTTCGCATCACTGGCCCCGCGTGATCAGGTCGACGTGGTGATGACGGCTCTGCGTTGGAATGTGTACTACGCCTCTTCCTCCTCTTTGGGCGTTCCTGAGGGCGAGACGGGAGGAGGTCATCCCGAGTTCGATAACTTTATCACCAGTGATGATTCCAAGGGCGTCATTAACGGTAGTAATGGGGTTAAATACACGGGGGCTCAGCTCATGTGGATGTTTCCCCCGCTTTCTCACGAGGTTGCAGAGCGCAAGCTGAAGGCTCTTTGTGGCCTCATCAGGCAAAATATCCCACAATACAACGCGATGGACGTAATTAAGATTCTTAACGAGATGGTTGTTTCCATGGAGCTGCCTTCGAGCCTCATCTCTGGGGATGCCGGGAAGGGAACGCAGGTGCCGTTAAGCGCTCGTGAACAGAATTTATTCAAAGACGTCTATTTGATCTGTGAGACATTACAGGACGCCCTAGTAGATCCTAGATTACGCAACGAAATGGTGACTTTACCAACCTTTTCTTTAGTTCGTTACCTCATGACTTTGTCTAAGCTGAGGGTTCGCAGGAAAATCATATACTTAGAAGTTCTAAATTTATTATCAGAACGCAATTTATTTCCCTTTGAACTGATTACTGTGTTGGGAATCATGGGGCGGAATCACTTAACTGTACCACATATTATTTCAGCTTGTATAAAACGTCTGGGTGAGCTTGGTGGTATCCTCACACCAACACGAAAAGCGTTACTTTTGAAGTATTTGGCCCAAACCAACGGTCAGATATTTGTACGTGCACCTGTTTTCGCTCCACTCGACGGTGGGTCCTTTTTTAAATCGGTCTCTGAAATAAACAAACTCACCTACTTCGAGTCACTTTTCACCTTCAACGGATTGATGGAACTTCAACAGTACGAAAACCAAACACTAAGGTGGCTTCTTGATGGCCCTCTCACGGCTGGGCTTTCCGGGAAAGAAGAACCTGGCGAGGTGTCTAACCAACTTTTTCTAAACACCATCACCCGCATTCGGTCGTCAACAACTATTGCGGAGTTTTTGATTTCGCTCTGTCGTCTAGGGGGGCCGTCGGAGCATGTTCCTTTGACATTAGTAATTTCCACAATGGAGGTATTCCGACGTCGGATTGCCTCTTCACGAAGTTTATTCCTCGATTTGTCTCTTTTTTTGAGCTACTGGCCCATTCTCTCGAAATATACGGCGCTTGTGGAGCGTGATGCCACAATTCACGACCCCCCGCTGCTCAGCGCAAGGGCCCATGTTAACGAATCCCCGAGCGAGCGCCTTTCTACTCAGCAAAGTTCCCAAATTGACAAGGTGGGAGCGGCATGGAATGGGGTCCTGGAGACCGCTTCGCCACTAATTAGAGAACGTCTGCTGAATATCTTGAATTCGCCCCAGCTTCGCGTGAATACGTTTTTATTTTACCAAATGGCGATTGGGTGCTGTTTAGATGCTATGCCCACGGTGGACAGCAATGCCGAGCGAGCCCTTGTTCAGCATTTGGACCTAAGAACTATGATTGAACCGACCCAAAATCCACATCGACTTGTGGATGGTCTCATTCTTGTGTTGTATTTTATTCCACGATACCCCGCCGAGACTCGGCGTATTGTGGAGTTCCTACTTGAGCATGTCCAAGCGCTGCGTGTGCAGGATGCGCTTTCAATGTGGAGCTTGCTGGAGGATGCGTTTCGAATGAACGCGCATCTACGCACTATTCATGAGAATTCTGATGTTTCAGCCCAAACATCAGCCACGGGGTTAACACAGGTAAGGGACATACTCCATCGCCTGCGTGAGAAAACCAAGAGGCATGTACTGAAGGAACAAAACGTTATAAAATTGAGTCCAATGGAGTCACGCTTAATGCGAGAACTTCGGTAGGATTGTATTATATTTTTTGGTTATTTTTTTTTATTCATTTCGGCAGGTGTGTTTGTGTAGGAATTCTTTACATATCGCAACTTATCCACAATAACGCGTCGGTCTCAACGAGACTCTGAGGAAAAGACACACTAGTGTGTAGCACTGAGGTTAATTTCCAATAGCGACTCAGGCTGGGTCTTCCGATTTTTATCAAAATGGTGTGATTCTTCTTCTTCTTATTAATGTGTTTGCATCGGTACGCTTGATTGTCTTTTCCCTAATTTTTTTTACCATGGTTTCTATCCAAAGGAGGCATATTCGCAGCTACCAAGAAAGTTTGAAAAAAACATATTAGAAACGGTAGAAAAGGAGACCCACTGCGA